GGAATTCCAGGTCTTCAAAGTGTTTGCTTTCGACATCCAACAGATCGGCATCCTTTGGAGAAAAGGGAATGAAAACAAGACACGCCAGAATGGCTGCAGCCTTCTTAATGTGAAGAAAAAATTATTAAAAGCAAAAAGTCCCAAAGTATCTTTCCAGTTACAACACTGACCAGGGTTAGAACATGATAATCCTCCCTTTGTAGTTAAACCCAAAGCAGTGACTTAGAATGAAATAAGGGACTGGGGTGGTGGGGGTTGGGGGGAACAACATTCATTTCACTGTTGGTTTTAGTTCGTTCTTTGGATGTCGGAATTCCTGCTTTAAATCTACCAGGTGGCTTTAAAATGGATTAAGAAGTATAAAATATTATAAGACCAAGGGTGTGACATAGTCTCTTGAATAAGTTTCTACTTTCCACAATTTTTCAAATGAAATGAGACTTTAGTATAGAGATTAAATTCAAGATTCCAAAGTTGTTGACTATTTAAAAAAAAAAGGTTCAAAAGGTGGCATACGTAACAGCTCAGAGGTCTCTGAGAGGGAGACATGTACCCCAAATGGCATACAACACAATCCACTGGGATGTGAGGGAGAAATATTAGATCTTCTTTATATTTATTTTTAGTTATTCTCTTCTTTTACAATTTCTCAATAAATGTTCTCTAATGTACATACAAGTAGAGTAGTATATGTACATTACTTAAAAATGAATATATACTTTTGAGTAGGTATGCAACATGTATTAGTTATAATATAATATGATCTATGTGTGTATATATATATATATATACATATATATATAGGCATGCATGCTCAAATAATTCTATTGAAGGGAAAAGTCATCAAAAACATTTGAAGATTGGAGTTCTTAAACTGGGCTTCCATGAATCCCTTAAAATTGTTGACCCATCTATTTACTAGAAAGAGTAGAACCACAGTGTTCATCAGGCACAAAAAGTGACTCAAAAGGTTAAGCCCTGCTATTTGAGGAACAATCTTCAGGACACTTAAGAACAAACAGAAATCATGAAAGTCAGATGGTCGACAATAGGTCTTCTCCAGCCCATGAGATATCTGAAGGCAGGAATGAATCTGTATCTGTGCAGAGTGGTGCATGTTGCATAAATTATTCTCCAATCTACTTAAAAAATAAAAAACACCTCCTTATTTTGGGAGCTTTTTTCAGAGCTATAAATGAGGTATGTATAGAAGATTTTTTAAAAAATCTAACTTGTAAATAATTGATGACCAAAAAGAAAAAGGCAGCTGGGCTATATGGCTCTCAGCTCTACGAAGGTAAAAGTGTCAGGGAATTTTTTTTTCAATCAACACATTAAATAAATGGATAAAGAAATACATGATAAATTGGATCTAAATAAGTGGGTAAAGAAATAATGATAAATTAGAGCTCTATCTTTAAACACATCACTCCCTCCCCTAGTTTTTCATGTAAGTGATACAGTGAGTCTTTTAATCAAATGGAATATAGTTCTGTCTTCTGGAATGAATTTTATTCTGGGGATGATTCACAGGACTATTGGCTACCATGAAATTACAACCAACACTATAGCAACAAGATTATTATGTCAATACAGTGGATTCTCAAGCTTAAGAAAATTTGAAAAACATATTTCGCATTTCTTAACACTTCTTTACATTTTAATTAGCCAAACGGAAAGTGGTCTTGGTTTGAAGTCACTGGGTGACATTTCAAGTTTATCAGATATTTCATGCTTATAACTCTAGTGTTATGTCTTGAAACAAAATATCTGTAGTCTTAAAACATCAGATATATTCATTCACAAAGGCCTCCGTACTCAAGTTTTTCAGGTCTTTCAATTTAGCTTGGTTTGTGGCTAAAGGTTATTAAGCTAAAAATTTTAATAAGCATTTTTTTTTTTTTTTTTTTAGTTTATAAAGAACCTTCAGCCAAAGTGGGCATGTGGCTCACAATATATACACCATGCTAGTCAGTCACTTACTCTACATCTGGGTGATATGCAACATGTGTTACTTTAACCACATGAAGGTCACAAGAGTCACTAAATTATTTGTAGTAAATATTTAAACCACTGCATGAAAATAATAACACACTAGGCAGGAAAGTTGAAAATTAAAGCTAAACTCAGCACTCAGATTCTTCTGGTGTAATCATCTGATCAAGTTATCTAAACCATTAAAACATGTGCATATAAACTTACACTGTGAAAGAAAAAGGAAGGGAAAAGACTTTTACAAGACTTTAGATAAGAACAAGAATTCAAGAGATGGAATTTGGGGACAGGAGTAGTTTAATTGAGCATGGAATAATATATACAGGAAGCTCAAAGTCAAGTATATGACTAGTTGAATAAAAATTTTAATTAAACTTCTCCACTAAAAGAACATTACAAATCTCTAGTGGCTGGTAAGTTCAAAGGCCAGGCGTGAAAAGAAATAAAACAGCTGCACTAAAGGAAATTCAACAGAAGTCCTTTTCTTTTTCCAATAACTTTTTTGATAATGTATACGGCAGGAGTTCAATGCCCAGTTTTATGTTTTCTTTGCCTGGTAGAGGGATAGAAGAGATGTGGTATGGCCAGGAAACCTGATTACCAGTAATAATCTCACGACAGCTCAAGGCCAACTTCGAAAGCAAATTTAAACGGGGCTTAGGGCTTGTTACTGTTTCTCCATCTTATGCATTACATCAAACACTTCACTTGCATACTTTTGGAATTTGGAAAAATACAATGGAAATCATCAAGTACAACCTTCTCATTGTATACATGAGGATGCTGAGGGCCATAGAGGTTGAATGACTTGTCGATTAAAAACAAACTAATTGTAGAGCCAGTAAGAAAAAAAAAGTCTCCTGTGCCTATTGGCCATTTGTATGTCTTCATTGGAGAATTGCTTGTTTAGGTCTTCTGCCCATTTTTGGATTGGGTTATTTGTTTTTTTCTTATTAAGTTGTATGAGCTGTTTATATATTCTGGAAATTAAGCCCTTGTCATTCTCATATTTTGCTAATATTTCTCCCATTCTGTAGGTTGTCTTTTTGTTTTGCTTATGGTTTCCTCTGCTGTGCAAAAGCTTATAAGTTTAATTAGATCCCATTTGTTTATTTTTGCATTTTTTTATACTGAACAAAATTTTTAAAAAATCAGGAAACCAAAATCAACCATTCAGCTGAATAAATATCAAAACACAAAAAACTATCCTAGCCAGGAGCCTCCGAGCAAATGAAAGGCTCATTTATCTCTAGTTTTTTTTTTTTTCCTCCCCCACACTTCTTGTATTCCAGAGAATGATTCGGTTGGTGAGCTCACTATCAACTACATTAAGCCACAGGCCATGAAATCAACATCAGATGAAAACTGTATTCTGCCTACAGAACAATGATTCAGGGGTAAGAAGCCCAGTCATAAATCCATAGTGTAATAGGCACAAAATCATTCTACAATTTCAGCTTAAGTATTTGGGACAACATACAGTGAAAGAAAATTATTTCCTTCCTATTCATCTATTTTCTGTTTTGTCTAACTTGCCACCTAATGAAGTTAGCTGTAATAAAATCAACTTTATTGAATCTTGCTTACATGCCTTGGGGAAAGCTTTGTAATGGAGTGCTATTCTGGAGAGTTTGAAGTCCTAAGGGAAATGGGTTGTGATAACACAGGAAGTTCCTAGTATGAATGGACTTCTCATGAAATAAATGAACTTTTTACTGATTAAGACAAGGGACTGGTGAAGAGTTATTTTGGTCATCATCCATCTCTGGAAAACAAGAATTAGTAGCTCTCTTAATATCAGATGAACAGAAGCTGCCACAAGCCATTTTTCTCTTCTAAGAAAAGGGTTTTATGATAAGAATTTTGCACTCTGCTTGGAAAGGAAGAGGAAAGAGTCTTTGCCTTCAATTAGTGGAACAGGCTGTCTGCAACATTTCCTTTCCTCATTTGTAGTCAAAATCCTTGGAATGTATACAAATTTACAAGTTTTTCTAACAGAATCTAGATTAAGCAAACAGTAATTATTTATATCAGCCTGACTTCAGGTTATTAATAGAATCTACCAAATTTTTTTGAAGCAGTATTTGTAAATAATAGTAGCAATAACTGGGTAACTAAAGGAAGGCAGAACAAAGTACATAATCACGGTTCTGACCCCAAATAAAGTATTATGGTGACTGCGTAAAATCTTCAGTAATAAAGAAAGCTGGAAAAGAGTAAACAAATACAAAAATGTTTCCCAATCTCTTTTGTGAACTGGCATAAATGCACAAAAAAGTACAAACTAAAAATAATTTTACAAATACTATTCTTTTCCCAATCATTTTTATCACAAGATTTCCAGAGAACTGTGACACTGAGGGTCAGGAAATTTGATGATCTTACAGCAAATTGAGTTGTAATATAATGAGTAAAGGGGAAGAAACATTTTTGAAGCTTTGATTCAATACTGTAAAAACTACAGATATTCAAACTGTTATGCTGTAGTTTAACCTGTCTGTACTGGGTACTTTTTATGAAGGTGATTTCAACCTGTGTAATACACTGAAAAGTTTCACCTGTAATTTTTCATAACCTAGTGACACTCAGAGGTTGCAAACATTTTTGTATGCAAGGACATCATACACATTTTCAAGGCTGTGCTCTTTTAACTGATCTTGTCCAAGCTGCCCATTTCCAAGAAGGTACAGGCGTAGTAACATGAATGAACTAGTCTTCTTTGCTACTCACACGGAATCGTAAACTGTTAGTCACTTAGTACTAATCACGTGACTCCTCTAGAGGTCCCAGACTGTTAATGACTGTCTCCCCAGAGTCACGTCTATTTGGGCCGCTGTTTAGAGCAAAGAACTCAGCTGTCAAGAGGCTATGAAATATTAAGTGGCCTTACGGGTGTTTGCAAAACTCTCCACCTAGGAAGTCTTGTTTTCAGAAGATAAGTAGCGAGGTTGTGTTCAACACGGCCAGCATAAAAGACTGAAGAATAACCTGACGAAGTTCACCTAGAATGTCTATGTGGCACTAAGGTTTAAAGAATTACAAAGCTTGTATGAGAACATGTTGAAATGCTCTGCATCTTGGGTCTTGTTTGACTACTGTGATCAAGCTAATGAGTTTAATGTTACTAAGAAAGAAAAAGAAAAACAAAATGATGAGCAGTGGTGGGGAGCAAATCAGAGAACAGAAAAATCTGTGGATGGGAGTATAAAATCAAGCTAAGAAAAACACATTTGAGGTCAAACAGTACTCACGATGCAGCAGAGAAGGCAGGGAAAGATGTCAGCTGTTTTTAAAACAGCTACAATCTTGACGGTTACGTGTCCATAATAGCTCTCTTTTGTTACAAAGAAAGACCCCAGAAATGTTTCTGCATTGTTAATGAGGTGAAGGATTCCAACAAGGAATTTTTAAACTGATTGGTACAGAATAATATATACTGTCAGCATGCAGATTTCTATTTAAAACGCATCTAATGACCAGAATTTATGCAAATTTATGCTGTGTGAAGTAGAAAGTCATAGGTAAGCGGAACTTAATTGAAAAAAATAAAAATAACAAACAACTAGCACATTCCTGTTTGCTACTGACCCTCTTCAGTTGTTGTTGTAACTGTTCCCTCATGGACTCAGGACAATTGTCCAGCTGGGTCTTCTGCTCGGAGTAAAGCTCCTGAAGCCTCTCTAGTTTTTCCCTTTCAGCATCAAGCTTTACCTTCTCCTGAATTTCAGAAATCAGAAAATAGAAGAATAGAAATTACCTTCACACCCCAAGCAGGCGTTAGCGAACATTTCCCAAGGATAACACAAATAAGCAAACACACGCAAACTCCAGACATCCTATGACTGCAGAAACATATCTTGTTAGTGACTCGGATTAGGGGGTATCAGTGGCCGTAAAGACGAGGGGCCCCAGTTTTGCGTTCTCCAAACCCGGTCCACTCATCAGGTATTGGTGACGACCCTCGTCCTTCCTTCTTCCCTTCCTTCCTGCCAGCACATTACAAAAGCAAGGGGAGCAATGGGAATGTTGGTCCATGGTCAACAAAGAACAAAAGAAATGCCAACTGAATTCCTGAGATAGCCCTGCAAAGAGTCACTTGGCAGAGAACCAGACAAAGAGAAGCAGGCATTTACCTTGAGGACTGTCAGAGTCCAGTTTGCTGAAGGCATGTGTTAAGCAAGCTTTGGAAATCATTGAAATTTTGTTCTCAGGTCAGAGGCACATTAGGTGCCCAACTGATACACGGGTCATCTGGAACAATTTTAGCTATCTGGCAAAATTCAGAGCTTAAGCAATTGGAGAATCAGAGCGTAAGGAGAGCACCTAATTCAGAGGTAAAGGTCTAGTAAAAATGAGAGACTGACAAAGCAGCACGAGGAAGATGAGCGAGACGCAGATACACCAAGAGCGTGATGTTTCCTGTGGAGACGAGGACGCCCCCTACAGTGATTGAAACATGGGGTCTGGGAGAAGGAAAGGTGAACACCCAGGAGTCAGAGATAGAAGAGAAAGGAGATGATAACACTAAATTCCTCTCAAGTCACACACTCCAAAGTGACCCTGGACGTTCTCCAAATCCTGTAATCCAGCATTACACGCTCTTACAAGGCCACCTCGTACACTGAGGAACAAACTTCAGTCTGTTTAGTGCCAGTTTTCCCACCTTATGTCCCCTCTATGATACTCTGAACCCCTGAAGTCAATCTTAGACCCAACTGTCTCCCTGTGTGACATTCTCAGCCTAAACCAAAGCACTATGTGAAGCACCACCATCGTCTGACCCTCAGCAAGCAAAACACCACCTCATGACTTTCCTTATGTTCACTATTGATTTGGTAGGAATAAAACTGGCTTCTAAGCATATCACAGAGGATTTTTTTTAAAGGATGAAGCTTTGAAATAATCCCATAAATTTATACTTACTATTATTTCCTCATCCAAATGGCCATGATTTCCTGTGTAAACATATCTTTAGAGTCTTTATAAATGATGTTACGGTTTAAGTTTGAAACTACACGACATCAATACTTACATCAGTTCACTTGAGTCTCCATTGGTGGCTTACATTTTAAAATTTCAAGGGCATTTTAGAAATGTCTATTTTGCTGCAGACATGCCTTTTTACTCTCAAAATGATTAAACCCAAAAGTCATGAAACTGAGAATCCTACTTCACCTATCCATCGAAAAGTGATTCTACAACCTAAACGCTAGCAGGCCGCAGAGAAAGCCGCCTCAGTCTTCAGTGGGCAGGGTGCTCCCTGTGCTCAGCTGCTGCGTAGGAGGGAGAGAAGTGACGCGTCACTCACACAATGAAGGATTCTCTGTGTTACCGCACAGGAAAACTGAAGCTACTGGGGCCGGCTAGATTGTCTTTAGCTTCAGAATTAATACTTTTTTTCCCCTTTAATAAAGCCAGCAGTACAGAATACCTGTTTTCTGTTGGCTAAGAAGCATGGTAGTGCCGTTGTGTGCAGATCAAAGACTGCCCTACTACAGAGCAGAAGAATTTTATCCCCAAAGAGTTCTATTTCTATATCGTCGGATTTTGCAGCCATTCTCATTCCAAACAGAAATTTAAACAAAGAAGAAGACTATTCATTCCAATTACACAGCAAATGTGCAAAGCCCTAAAATGTAAAGTTATCTTTGACAGAAAATACTGAAACGGTATTTAATAAGGTAGAAAGGCACTGGCCTAAAACACGGGTCTCCAATCTGAAGAAATAACCAAACTATTCCTCTGATGTTGCAATTTTTTAATTGCTAATAACAAGCGCAAATAAACAGCTGATAAAATATACCTTATGTTTACATATTGCCTTCCTTCTGAGGTGCTCAAGACGTTTCGCAATTCCAGACAAGGGGGCGGTTAGAAGAATTACGCAAGCAGGCACCATCAGAACCTTCTGCAGCTTCCCCGTGGTTTATCTGTAACGCTGTGACCACTACCTGGGTCTCAGGGCAAAAGCTCAGTGGGGCCAAGGCGAGGGCAAAGGAAGTAAAGGGAAGGATGAAAGAAGCACTGGTGGCAGATGGGCTGGCCATAAATCACAGGGGACCACAGGGGTGATATCACTCCCAGAAGAGCCAAAAGCAGACCAACTCTGAGCCAGAATGAAATCAATATACCTTTCTTCTATTTACTGCCCAGGAAGTTTTCAAAGGAAAACTAGCTTTAGGCAGGCAGTTAATTAGAGCTGAAAGTATCACCTTCTACAGAGAGTTGGACAAGTTAGATGGCTTTCCAGGGTTCAGGGATTCTAATTCCTTACAAGTAAAATATTAACACCAGGTGTTATTCTCTTCCCCTAGAATTAAATTGGGAAAGTCACCTATTCTAACTACAATAGGCACAGTGATATTTTCCAAACATCAGAATGGGACATTTTTTTCCTTAGGATTCATAAATCTCTTTTCAGGAAACAAATGAATTAAAAGACATTTTTAATATATTTAACAAATTGAATTTCGTTGGAAAAAATAGTATTATAAGGAACTGGACCACTCCAGGAAGATCCAGATGTACAGGGGGGCGTTTATAAAACAAAGACCAGAACCTGACTTCCCTCAGACGTGGCTGCCTCCAGCCTCCTCAAATTGATTTGTCCTCTCTTGATATACTGGGAAGATCCAGCTGGTTCCCAAATTCATTGCCAGATTCTGCCTATTTTGCATATATAAGACTGAAATTCCTAAGTGTGTAGAGGGCCAAAGCTAAATTATTCACTAGCAAACGAAAGTGGAAAGCAGTATATAAAATCTGGCCTACATCTGCTTCCACAGTATGCTTTTCATTCACTCAATCAATCAATCTTTAAAAGAGGACTAGAGACAGAGAAAAGAGGTAACTTGATCCCTGTCCTCATGGGGTACAGTCTGTTTAGCTCTCTGCTGCTCAGCCCTGACCGCACCTTAGAATGAGCTGGCTGAGCTTTTAAATGTACCATTTCCCAGGCTTCCATTTAGAAATCCAGGGGTGTAAGGCTAGGGAACAAGCACTTTAAAAATCCTTCCAGGTTTTCTCATATGTAACCAGGTTAAAAAAAAAAAAAACCCAGTGATTTAGCCACCTAGGATGATGTGCAAGGCAAAGTAAAATTAACTATAATTTGACTTTGCTAATGAAGACACAGGACCATTAATTTAGGATCTATCAAAACTTGTTCCGAAAACATGTGGCCTTAGCACCTTTCCTTCGTAGTATAAAGGTCCTCTCTTAGAAGTAGCACCTCAGTTGTAAAATTTTTACATTCAGAATAAATGCCTCAAGTAAACAAACAAAAAAAGAACTGTGAGATTCCAATATCCAATATGCATTCAGAGAGGAACACGCATCTCAAGTTCAGATGTAAAATGACTCTTTTCTAATCATGTAAGTCATCAAGGGTGGTTATAAACTTACCCTAAATAATCTGAATGCGTACACAAGAATTGCCAATAATCTTGAATGAATTTGATAACCTAAGGCTTATCATAGGACAACTTACTTTGCTAGATCTATGGTTAGAGACAATAACAAATATTCTCTAAGTTCTCTTCTTGAATAAAGGAATTGAAATTTAACTTGGTGGATCTATTTGAATTCCACTGCTAGACAGGAAATTTTTGAATACCAATAAAAATACTTTGACCATATCCAACTAATACTTAATAAGCAGATGGTTCAATGTTGCCCTGAAAAGATGCCTTTATGACTTGTAAAGTTGCCAGATAAATTAAACACCCAGTTAAATTTGAATTTAAGATGAACAACAAATGATTTTTTAAATATAAGTATGTCCCAGATAATAGATGGGGCATAATTACACCAAAAATTATTCTCTTTATTTGAAATTTAATTTCTACCAGCATCTATGTATTTTTCCCTAAATCTGGCAGCTCTATTAGCTTGACAAAGATTTTCTTAAAAATTAAGATCCATCTTTGTAATTTCCAAACTGTTTAGCACAGAAACCAGAACACACAGCTCAGGCCATGTTTAATGAAACACTGGATCAAGACTGGAATTGATGCAGTCATGTGCTACAATTCATAGCACCTAAGCCATCATTTCTAAGGTCAGCCCATCCACAGTCCTCTCCATACAACCTGAGAATCCCTTTCCTTTCAGTTCCTAAGCCCCGTAGGATAGTTTGGGAGGCAGGCATCCTCAGAGGTTCAAGATTGGGCAATTGTTTTAAAGCCAAAATCACTTTCTTGAAATTCTTAAGACCAGATATGTCCTGTTTCAGAATAGTCTGCATTTGATAGAGGTAACACAGTTCATGCAGCATACACTGTCAGGCATTTCAAGGTCTGGGGCAGTTCCCTGTGACCAAACATGCTTCTATTTCTGCAGCTATTTATGAATATTCACGCCAAGTGTGAATATCACTCCAAGTCAAGTTTTGCAAACAATTAAGTTTTGGTGCCACTCTTACAAAAAATTTTTTTCCCCACGAAACTTTTCAGAATTGCAGAGGGAAGATTATGGACCTGTGTCCACAGACGGAGATTGTTGAGAACTCATTCTCTGCCTGCCTCTAAAGAAGCACATTCTTGTATTTCTTTCCTGGGATATTTTTTCCTTTGGCTTTGACATTTTAACTACATAATTGATGGACACCTAGTGTAGAAAACATTGGAAAATCAGAACACTAAGGCTTTATGCAATCAAACAACCAACCACCAGAAAAAATAACCGTAATCTGGAATTCTGTTGATTTAATCCCTAAA